CTGTACTCAGTTTAGATTTCATGCAGATTAGATTTCTTAGCAGCGTTTATTTTTTAAAAAAACAAACAAACTGACAACTGCAAGTGGATCAAAACAGACTGAAGACAAGGTGGACTTATATTCTGCCTTGCGCTTCTTACAACTCTCCTAGAAATAAATTTTCCTCCCCTTTCAGAATTTTCAATAAGGAGAATCCTCTTCAACCAGGCCTTTGGCTGATCAGACTTTTAAATGCGTTTGTGGGAAAGGTTTCTTTGTTTCTAACTTTTTGTGCTTTTATCTTGTATTTTATCTTGTGAACTGCCTTGAGAAATTTTGATGAAGGGCGGTATATAGATCTAATAAAATAAAATTAAATTAAATTAAAATATGATTGGATGGAAGCTGGGAGTTCAACACCCGAAAGGCCTTCACGTTCCCCAACTGCTGCAACAGGGCATAGTTTCATGATCATCTGAAGACCACGCCGTTCTCGGCATCCGAAAACGCTGAAAAATGACACATTAACCTCCTCCCGGGCTGAATCAGGAAGGGGTGGGGTGGGGAATCCAAAGCAATAACATTACACTTCAAGGATTTCACCCACAGTGGCTGAAACAGAGATGATTGTGTCTGCAGAGAAAGAGGCACCCACCCTCTCTGGGTTTACAGTATCAAAAAGGAATCCAACAAGTTAGTACTCTGGAGGTGGCAGCAGCGACGGAATAAATTCCTTCAGTCAAGGCTCTGAATTTACAGCAGGTCTGGGGGAAACTCAGCAGAGGCATGAGTTTGCTGCAGAGATGCCTGCTGGATTATAAAACACAAGCAGAAAAACAAAAGGCCACGTCGCTAACCTTCCCTTCTCCCTCCCCATTCATTTTTCCTTTCGGATCGTGTCTGTCTGATTGAGAGTCTATTGGCAGGGGCTGAAGCGAGGAGCTGGAGAGACACAGAGATTTGCTCTTCGTTCTGTACTTTGGAGGCAGGGGCGGCCCATCCCATTTCACCACCTGAGGCAGAACCCAAGGGAAGGTGCTGGGGGCACCCCGCTGACAACCCCTCCACTCCAAAGTCTCGCTTACTGGGGTCATGTGGTGGAGGCTTCTAGAGAGATCTTGCAAGAGGTCAGCAAAATCTTGTAGGAACCAAGAAGCACCCCTTCTTGCTTCTCCAGTGGTGGCAGAGGAGGGTGGGGTGCCCACAGGCCCCGCCTCTTGGATTCTGCCATCTGAGGCAGCTGCCTCAGTCTGCCTCACGGCCCTGGTTGTAGGGTACATGCTGTGAGCCTGTCCACCCTATGCACAGGTTGTATTTTAACTGTAAATACTGTATATTCTAGTGACACAGGGGGTGCTGTGGGTTAAACCACAGAGCCTAGAACTTGCCGATCAGAAGGTCGGCGGTTCAAATCCCCGTGATGGGGTGAGCTCCCGTTGCTCAGTCCCTGCTCCTGCCAACCTAGCAGTTCGAAAGCACATCAAAGTGCAAGTAGATAAATAGGTACTGCTCCAACGGGAAGGTAAACAGTGTTTCTGTGCGCTGCTCTGGTTCGCCAGAAGCGGCTTAGTCATGCTGGCCACATGACCTGGAAGCTGTATGCCGGCTCCCTTGGCCAATAAAGCGAGATGAGCGCCGCAACCCCAGAGTCGGCCACGACTGGACCGAATGGTCAGGGGTCCCTTTACCTTACTGTATATTCTAAAGACACTTCTGTCTCCAAACGACCTTCCTTCCTAGGAAACTGAATCCTGGTTAAGCACTGGAACCCATGGAGACTAGGGTGTGTGCAGTGCTTAGTGATTTTAGGGTTTTCCTAAGTGCTAAATATCATTATCATCATTCTTCCACAGGGATAGGAGTCATGTGCAGAGATCTGGGAGAAACTTGATTCCGTTTGCATTTCCAGGCAAACGCAGCTAATTAGTACTTTCGGGCACAATTCGTAGACCTACACGCGGCCATCCTCCCGAACCTGCTCTTCTCTGAGTTTTGCAATACATTTCTCCAGGGCACGTAGTGAGCTCAAATAAAAACACATATACTAGGGTCAAGTGTGCTTATGAAAGCATACGTTAGCAAACATTAGCATAGAAAATGTGGGATATTTCGGAAAACTGCTTCGTAAAATACCATATTGGCCGGAATAGAAGCCGCACTCCCCTCCCCAAATTCTGATTGTGAAAAGTTAAAGCACAGCTTGTATTCGCAACCTTGCAGTATCGCTGCTGAAACAGCTGCCCACGAGGGCCATAGGGCGGGGAAGGAAAATGGCGTCCGTCCCGCTTGCTGTTCCCAAACCTCCTCTGAGCCGCCTAAGGATGGTGGAAAGGGGGGGAGGCTGCCGGCAAAGCAGCGTAGCTCCCCCCCGCCCCCGCCAGGAAGCAGCCTGGGTATTGTCCTTTTTAAATTTTGCCCCCTTCAGTTTCAAAGGTGAGGCTTATTTGGAGGTGTGGCTTAAATTCAGGCCAATACGGTATATATCAGGCAAAACTGCATATGGAAGTTGCATTAGGAGACATCCGTGCGAAAATGCTGGTGAGTTTTCATGAGGACTAGTCGCAGACTGATGTGGAAAGGCCTTCTGCAGATGTCATATTGTCAGGAGGGCTGTTCCATAGCATATAGGAATTGAATCTTTAGTGTCCCCGAGCCTAAACCTTTGAAATCCCCTCCCCTCAAATAACAAACCAGCACCATCTCTGTTGTCTTTCTGGCACCTTCCAACAAGCCCTTTAAGTCATGAGTAGGCAAACTAAGGCCCGGGGGCCGGATCTGGCCCAATCGCCTTCTAAATCTGGCCCACCAATGGTCCAGGAATCAGCATGTTTTTACACAAGAAGAATGTGTCCTTTTATTTAAAATGCATCTCTGGATTATTTGTGGGGCATAGGAAGTTGTTCATTTTTATTTTTTTAAAAAAAATATAGTCCGGCCCCCCACAAGGTCTGAGGGACAGTGCTGAAAAAGTTTGCTGACCCTTGCTTTAAGTGGAGACCTTTCACCGTCTGTATCTTAAAAATTGGAATTATTCTTAAGATGTTTTTTGTTTTAGCACTTGCTCTTTCGCCATCCTGAGCTCCTTTGGGAGGAAGGCAGGAGATAAATTTTAATAAGGACATTTCCGCATGCAGTTAACACACACCTTTGTGCAGACAGCTTCTTACGTGCTTCATTTTTCCAAATATATTTCATTTTATGCACCCACTTCCCTAATAAAACACATTCTTCTAAACACTGTTTGGCTGGAGAGCTGGGTACTGCAAAATCTGGGTAAGTGCCAACTTCAAAGGACAGTTGTGTTTTGGTTTTCAGAAAGTGTGAATTTGATAAGATTCGGCTTTATGCATGAACTGAATCGGATTTCTCCTCCATGGCTAACCAGACATGGTTGTGGTGGCCTTGCCCATGTATCAATCCTGGCCCCCAACCCTTGATATAAAGACCCCCCCCCCAATAAAACCCTTAAGTTCAGAGCCTGAAATTACCTAACAATACCATACTGCAGCTATTAGCCCTGGAAAGGCAAGATCGACCTAATTCTTCTCCTTCTCCCCCATGTCTTAAAGGGCCTTTTGGTGCACCCAGATTTTTTTTTGGGGGGGGGGAGAAAAAGGCACACCACATTTCCAAAACCTTCCATGGGGGGGTTTAATATCACGTGCTCTGACACACCCCACACTTTCAGCCTTCCGCCTAAGCATCCTCTCTCTCTCCTCTGCTGCAACAACGTCATGCTTAATTATCACTTCCAGATTAAAAATAAAACCCCGTGATTATGATCTGTTGAACGCCGACAGAGTGGGGCTGGATTTCGGTGGCAGCTCCTGCCCAGATGCAAAAAAGAAAAAAAAAACCCAAACAAACCAATTTCAAAGAAGAGAAGGCAAGCACCATCCTTTGCTGGAAGGCCTGGAAGCGATGCAGAAGAGAGAAAGTGCTCAGAACTTTTTAAAAAAAATTATTAATATTAAAGGGAACTGACACTTCTTTCTGTTATTATAGAGATACAGAGGCAGCCTTGGAAGAACCTGGTGAGAACTTAAGAAGAGATGGCTAGATCAGACCAATCTAGCCCTGCACCCTGTTCTCACAGAGGCCGACCAAATGGCCATGAGAAACACACATTCAGGACCCAAACACAAGAGCACTCTGCCTTCTCCCCAGCAACTGGTACTCAGAAGCATATCTGCCTCTGGCAGTGGGTGCAGAACATAGCCATCAGGGTTAGGTAGCCTTGTTCTCCGTGAATTTGTCCACTTTTAAAGCCATCCAGGTCGGTGGCCATGACGGTCTCCAGTGGCAGTGAGTTCCACAGTTTAGCTGTGCACTGCATGAACAAGTACTTTTCTTTTATCTGTCCTAAACCTTCCAACATTCAGCTGTGTTGGACGTTTGTGAGTTCTAGGAATATGGGAGAGGGAGAAAAAAAAGGGTGCTGAAAAGATTTAGTGTAGCCACCAGGCAAGCGCTTCTGGAAATGATAATCTATAGGGAGACACCACCAAGAAGGCCCTTTACCCAGGACTCACCCGCCTCACCTCATTAGGTGGGGGAACCTGGACAAGGGCATTCAGTGAAGATCTTCAGGGAAAGGCAGGAACATATGGGAAGAGGTAGTCCTTCAGGTATCCAGGCCCCATGCCATTTAAGGATTAAGAGGCTTTTCAAGATGCCCCCAAACTCCCCTACAAAGCTGCTCTGTAATAATTCAGACTGCTCACCCATCTAACTCAGTACTATCTACACTGACTGGCAGCATCTCTCCGGGGTTTCAAGCAAAGGACATTCCCAGCCCTGTCTGGAGGTGTCAGGGACTGGAACAGAAGACCTTCCGCATGTGAAGGAGATACTCCAACAACAAATAGATTAAGGATCTAGTCCCCATGCCTCTGGATAAATGACTGAATTAAATAGGCACATGAGAAGTTGCCATAGTGAGTCAGATCATGGGGTGTATCTAGTTCAGCTTGGTCAACTCTGGAAGTGTCTCTCAGTCACAGGAAATTCCCTGGGCTATTTGGTGATGCCGGGGATTGAACCCAGGACCTTCTGCATGCAAAACAAGATACGCTGCCACTGAGCCACAGCCTTTTTCCTCAAAGGCTATGGCGACAACAGGATACAATGGCTCCTCCCCTAGGATTCCAGGATTCTTCCCATCCAGAGGTGAACTGGCAAGGCTGATCATTCCACCCACTTTTCCACCTTGGCAAAAGCCCACTCCGCTCATCCCTGACCAGCCCCTACAAAGTAAAAGGCAACTAGGAGAGCGTCCAGCCCAAGGTACTCCTCTTCCTACTGAGGCCCCGGGGAAATTACAGATGACACAAAGCGGGGAGGGAAAGTTACCTCCTCCAAAGGCAGGAATAGAAAACCCAAGGTGACCTTGACAGAACGGAAAGCTTGGGCTGAAGCTGACCAGACGAAATCCACTGGAGAGAAACGCAAAGATCTGCACTGGGGCGGGTGGGTGAGGTGGAGATGAAATACAGAAATGCAAGATGGGGAAAATACCAGGCAGGGCCACAAAACGTTGTCCTGAGCCCCATGGAGATGTCATGGAAGGGGTCATCAGATCCTGAGCAGTAGCCGGAGATCAGGGAGTTGGCGCCAGATGACCCAGGGAAGGTTCCTAGCTGGATGGGCAGGGGAGGCAGAATCCTGAACCCAACAAATGTCTGAGCTGGAGAAGGGGGCCAGTGGTCAAGGGAGTCCGGAGCTGGATTCTGGGGCGGATCCAAGCAGGTTGACAGAGAGGTGGCCGGCCCTGTCTTACTGGACCCCTCAAGTCAGGAGCTGCTATCACCATCTCCTCCTGACCCTTATGAGTCTCCTTCTCCTGGGGACGTGCTTGAGAGGCAGCTGGACACTGAACCAGTTCTACAGTGGTACCTCAGAGTACATACGCTTCAGGTTACAGACTCCGCTAACCCAGAAATAGTACCTCAGGTTAAGAAATTTGCTTCAGGATGAGAACAGAAATCGCGCGGCGGCAGCGGGAGGCCCCATTAGCTAAAGTGGTGCTTCAGGTTAACAGTTTCAGGTTAAGAACACCTCCGGAACGAATTAAGTACTTAACCCGAGGTACCACTGTACCTCTATTTCTAAGGACGTAGAGATATCAAATGAAACAAACCTTACAGGCCCAATCCACTTGCCCCCTGGTTTGCACAGAGCAGAGGTACCTCTTCTTTCCCCTGCTAGGTCTTGGACCCAGGCCCAGACAGAGGGGGGCCATATGGGCCACATGGCCCGAGCCTCCAATTCCAAAGGGGGCCTCAGTCAGCATATTTATCTATATTTTCCATTTTGTCTTTATATGCAGATACGGTTCAAGCCTTGAAATAAAATTATTTGTCAGCATAACTTTTGTGAAAATTATTTATATACTTACTTATTTATAAGACTTCAGTTATCCCCAGGGTAAAGAAAGGGAGGGGCACAGTATCTACCTGCTTGGACCTGCCCCACTCCTCAAGAGAGACTGGTTAGGACACACAATCAAGACTAGTGTATTCTGCAACATGCCCTAGATGTAACAAGAACGCATTAGCTCTGGGTTTTATACTGGATCATCCAGACATCGTTCCACCTTATTAACAGTTCTGCAATGCTTCCCCCATGCAATGGCATTCGTTCTGTCTGGGAGACAATAACTAGAAAAACGTAAGAACCCAATGCATAAGTGAATAGGAGCAGGAGAAAGGAAATGGGCATTGTTAAAAAGACAGATAAACAAACACAACGAACATGATCTCTGGAGGAAATGGCTTCATTCAGCCAAACGGCACATTCCAGGAAAAAGAGGATGTCTCTTTTTCCAGCTAGCCACAGCCCTGGCTAACATGCCTCCCTCACTTTGAAGACCAGGCTTCAGTTGGAAAAGCAAGCAAAAAAATGAAGAGATGCTTTACAAAGGCAATTTCCTCCTCCCGGGTGATAAAGCAACAAGTGCCGCTGGACACTGCAAGGATCAGCTGATGCAGAGAGATTAATCTGGCTGAGAAAGAAATTTCCTGACTGCTCTCTGTCTAAGAGAAAGTGTCAAAAAAATAAATAAATGGGGGTGGTGGTGAAAGGAATAGCTTGGATGGGGAGGGAGAGGAAAAATGGACTTTCATTTGAAGATGGGGACCGTGGAGAAAGTGATGAGTGGTAGAATCTCTTCCAAATTGCACACAATGTAATAATCTGCTGCAAGATCGCTGAAGACCCATCACTTCCCTTTCCACATGGGGCTGCTGGTAAACTATTAAATCAATCTGGAATTAATTGGAAATCAAGAACAGCCCCTTGCTTCTCTTCACTTCTCGGAAGACTACACTAGAAAAGGCAGTTTCATTCACCCCACCTACAGAGCTCTGGGTCACCTTTGATGGGGTTGGGGGGACAGAGCTCTAAATCCTGACAGAAACAGAAGAATCTGCTTTGTACATATTCAGACCATTTGTTCCATTGAGTTCGGCACAGTCTACACTGGCTGGCAGCAGCTTTCTAGGGTTTCAGTCTTCCTATGCTGTACTTCCTATGCTGTGCAGAAAGCACGCCCCATAGAGGTCCAGGTGACACCAACACTACATATGAGAGCCAGTGTGGTGTAGTGGTTAAGAGGGGTAGTCTTGCAATCTGGGGAACCGGGTTCGCTTCCCCGCTCCTCCACATGCAGCTGCTGGGTGACCTTGGGCCAGTCACACTTCTCTGAAGTCTCTCAGCCACACTCACCTCACAGAGTGTTTGTTGTGGGGGAGGAAGGGAAAGGAGAATGTTAGCCGCTTTGAGACTCCTTAGGGTGGTGATAAAGCAGGATATCAAATCCAAACTCCTCTTCTTCTTCTTCTTCCTCCAGCCCTGCCTGGAGATACCACTGGAGATTGAACCTGAGACCTTCTGCATGCAAAGCAGATGCTCTACCAGTGAACTACAGCCTGCCTCCTGAAGAATCAGTTAAAAGGGGAAACAACAGCACAAGGAGCTTGACAGTGGAACAGGTCATGCTCCTTCTGGGGCAGTTTGTTCACCCTGCACTGAGCTATAACTAGTGGCTCCTAGAAGCTGTCAGCATGCGACAGCGGCCACAACCCAGGGACGGCTTCAACTGGTTAAATCAGGTGAGAGTAGCTGACGAGTCTCAAATCCTTGGTGGGTTAGGGACTTCCCCTGCATGGAAAACAGACTCAGGCGTATTGAGTGGAGGAGACCAATTGTGGGTCAAGAAGGCAGTTTTCTGCATGTGCTGCAGAGGGAAGCGAGGGCCAGATGGGGCTCGTCCACCTGGGAAGGTAGCCCATCCAGGAGAAGGAAAACTCTGGTCTTAAATCTCCGTTGCCTTGCAGGACATCTTCAGGAGAAGAAAAGGTTAAGGTGTAAACCCTACACAAATCCAGAGTGGAGTCCCTAGACAGCTGGACGGCGCCTTGCATGCCTCCTGCAGCCAGGCTGGTGCCAAACATCTTGCTCTGCTTTCTTTTGGACCACATCAACCAGGCAGAGAAGGTCTTGTCGTCTGGGAAGCTCAGGACCACCACACACACTGCCCAAGCTTACACTCCAGGGAGGTGCTGCTATCACAGCAGCGGCGTAGCATGGGTTGTCAGCACCCGGGGCAAGGCAAGTAATTTACGCCCCCTAACCCGGGGCAAGGCAAGTAATTTGCGCCCCCTAACCCGGGGCAAGGCAAGTAATTTGCGCCCCCTAACCCGGGGCAAGGCAAGTAATTTGCGCCCCCTAACCTGCCGCCGCTGCCAGCTTCTTCTTGCTGCTGCCTGGTCTGGTCTGGCGTGGTTCTCTCCCGCGCTCAGCGCTGCGCTGGGCGGCCGCTGCACTGTCCCTCCCCCAGCTCGTCCCTCGCTCTCTCTCCGCACCGCACGCCTGGCACCCACCCCCTCCACAGTGGGCGGCGACCCAGCGGCTCGGATCGGATTCGCACAGCCAGCACTGCAGTGAGAGAGAGTGAGTGAGCCAGGTAGGAGCAGAGAGCTGCGAGTGCGGGCGCACCCCCCCCCAGATGTTGCGCCCGGTGTGGCCGCCCCCCCTGCACACACCCCCACGCTACGCCACTGTATCACAGTGGATTGACTTCGCCCCCGGAGGTGTGATCCACTATGTCTCAAGACAGACAGATACCAACTCAACTCTAAGACACAGTCCTGGAGGATAAAATTGGCTATGACCTACGTTCAGCCAATGGCAAAAGCGCATAGGGCAACTGATATCCAGCTTTGCCTTTGTCAAGTATGCTAGTTTGCACAGGCATGGGCCTCTATTCCCCCATCCAGGCAAGCAAAGGGCCATATTTTTCAGCCAGGCAGTAATGGAGGATGCAAAGCAGGGCCTGTGAGGGGGCGTGGCCTGGGGAAAGCCCCTAAGACCAGATGCAGACGCCGCAAGGGTCACATTTGCCCCCTTCAGGGCCTCCACCCTTGCTGCATGTATATGTGCTTAATTGAAATATGTATGTATGTATGTATGTATGTATGCATGTATGTATTTGCAATATTTTGCTTATATTTTGTAACAATTATGTTAAATAAACAATAAAAGGTGTATTTTAAAACAGAATTATTATAGTCACCTTCCCAGGTGGGCCCAAGACCCACTTAGAATCATAGACAAGAGCAACAGAGTCGCTCTCCATTTTGCAAGATCAAAGTATGCAACGAACAACCTATATGGAACCAGAATTTTCACAGAAGGTCCATCTAGCCCCAGCCCCCTTGAAATGTAGGTGCGGTGAACCTTCAGCCCTCCAGATGTTGCTGAACTACAACTCCCATCCCTCCATCCCTCCTGTTTGCGAGGGTGATGGGGAGTTGCAGTTCAGCAACACCTGGAGAACTGGGAGGCTCTGCTCTGATTGGCAGCTGCTCTCCAGTGTCCAAGGCAAGGATCTTTCTCGTCACCTGCCATCCGAGATGCTCCTAGGGAAAGAACCACAGCTCAGTGGTACAGCATCCACTTCAGGTGCAGCAGGTCTTAGGTTCAATCCTCAGCATCTCCAGGTGGGGCTGGGAGATTCTCTCTACCTCTGAAACCCTGGAGAGCTGCTGCCAGTCAGTGTAAGCAATACTAAGCTAAATGGACCAACCATCTGGCTCAGTTCCTCTGTTCCTATTTCAGCCATTTAACTTGGAACCATGAGGACTAGAATCCTACCTCATTTTTAAGGGAAGGACCATCGCTTGGTGACAGATCTGCATGCAAAAGCTCTGAGGCTGAATTCCAGGTAGGGCTGGGAATGTCCCTTGCCTGAACCCCTGGAGAGCTGCTGCCAGTCAGTGTAGACAATATCGATACAAACAGAACCAATAGCTAGAAATGCCTTCTGCATGCAAAACACGACCTACAGCCCTCCTGCTTGGATCTGAAAATTCCTCCGCAATCCTGGGAGGAAGGAGGGGGGAAGGAGCTCCCGCCTAGTCCCACATTTCGAAGAGGCACAGATTCTCTTTCGCTTCTTACCTGCCACAGCCCATCACTCTCGACTCGCAGGCACAGGACAGAAACAGAGAAGCACTCCCTTCCCCTCCAGGAAGTGCAAGGCGAGAGAGACTTGCTGAGATTACCGGCTCAGGAGCGCCCAATTCTCAACTGCCTCCCTGCAGCAGCAGCTGATCAGTATCATGGCAGCAAAACTGCCTGGCCCAGCCCTCTCTTGTCACCACCTTCCTCCTTCCTGCTTGCCCTCTGCTACCGGGTCAGGATGAAATCATGCACATCTAATTCGCAGCTCCTTTCACACGCGCTCACACACCCCTCGGCCTTTGGCAGTGATGGGTATAAAGCAAAGCACTGTCCCACTGGGTTCAAGTCCAGGCATCCCAACCCACCCAAAAGTTTCCCTTTCCCCATGGAAGATGCAAGGGAGGCCAGCCTGCCTTTGTGTGGAAGCAGAATTAATGATCAACCAGGTGTTCAGCAACCAGGAGGGCTGGGACCGTGATAAGGACAATTACGTCTCACCAGAAAGTCGAAACCGAGACAGATCTGTTATTATTTGCTCAGTTCATTACCCGCCCCTTCAGGCGCAACGTTAAAAACATTCGAAAACAAATAAGAAGAGGGAGAGTGCTACAAAGATAAGGGCTCAGTATCTGCAGCTCCAGGCTCAATCCCCAGCGTCTCTGTCTGAAACCCAGGAGAGATGCTGCCAGTCAGTGTAGGCACTATTGAGCTTGGTGGGCCAATGGTTTGACTCTGTATGAGGCTACTTCTTATGTCCCCTCTCTGGTGTCAAAAGCCAGGCTAAAGCAGTGCATGTGCTTTATTCACCCACACAAACAATTCCATCGGGCACAATATTCAACCTTACTGATTTGGCCCAGGGAAATATTTTGCAGCTAGGAAGGAGAGAGATACAGAGAACAGAGCAGCTGTTATAACCATGTCGACACAGAAGGGATAATGGAGCTTTTGGGTCTGTGCCCACGATGGCACTGGCCCATTGGCAGACTGAGTGCCCCAAAGGGGCACCATGGACTGTCTGGCCTGGGGTGATTTTTAAAACTATATAATGCATTTCAGTAGTAAATACAGATAGACTAACTCCAAAGAACTCCCCGTGTTCCCCAATATTCCCATGTATGTATAACATTCACATAGAGAGAAGTGATCTAAGAAGTAATATATATACAGTGGTGCCCCGCAAGACGAATGCCTCGCAAGACGAAAAACTCGCTAGACGAAAGGGTTTAGTGATTTTTGAGTCGTTCCGCAAGACGAATTTCCCTATGGGCTTGCTTTGCAAGACGAAATGTCTTGCGAGTTCTTGCGAGTTTGTTTCCTTTTTCTTAAAGCTGCTAAGCCGCTAAGCCGGTAATAGCCGCTAAGCCGCTAATAGCCGCTAAGCCGCTAATAGCCGTGCTTCGCAAGACGAAAAAACCGCAAGACGAAGAGACTCGCGGAACGGATTAATTTCGTCTTGCGAGGCACCACTGTATGTAGAGATCAATTGCCTTGGGTAATTTTTAAGGCGCCAGGCTTGTTGGCAGACCAACCCTACACTGCAAGATGTCTGCAAACATGGCGTGAAGGCTAGCAACACCAACCCCACCACGTGGGAATCCCTTGCAGACGACCGCAGTGCCTGGAGACAGACGGTCAGGTGGTGCAGCAGTGACCAGAGGAGAAATGACCGCTGGGAGGAGTGCAGAAAGAATAAATGCCATGGTACATCTGCAGCAGCACAACTGGATGCCTTCATCTGCCCCAGCTGCAACAAAACATGTCTCTCCCATATCGGTCTCTGCGACCACAGCAGGCTCTGCAACCTTCCAACCATTTGTACACTGAAGGCGCACTCCTCCATTGTTGAGATGCCAGCAACTTCAAGGTTCATCTCCTGAACTCTTGCCTGAATCCGCCATACATATACAGACAGAACCACAACAAAATGCCCTAACTTATGAGAGGTCTCCATCAGCCACAACAGAAGAGAGGAATATCTAGCCCAGAGTCTGCATGTGGCCCTCTGCGCCTGGCCCTCACGCCTCATGGAGCCTGACTGCGTTTGCCTGGCTAGAACGTGGCTTTGAACTCCAACAGCGCCTCTTGCTTGCCTTGAATCGAGGGTAGAGAAAGGTGTGTTAGTTTGTGCAGAAACTAGACTACTGTACAAATGGATCGTTTTATTCCTTGCTCCTCACACTTCACCTCTGGCCCTGCCCACCTCTGGCGTTAGGCCCTTGGGTGGGGGCCCAAAAAGGAATGCTGGAAAATACTTCCTACCCCTGATCTAAAACGTTAATAATAATAATTTATTATTTATACCCCGCCCATCTGGCTGGGCTTCCCCAGCCACTCTGGGCGGCTTCCAAGAAAATATTAAAATACACTAATGCATCAAACATTAAAAGCTTCCCTAAACAGGGCTGCCTTCAGATGTCTTCTAAAAGTCAGATAGTTGTTTATTTCCTTGACATCTGGTGGGAGGCCGTT